TTTTTTTTTTTTTTTTGGTTTTCTGGGCTGAATATAAGCTAAAGTATTTAAATTTCTCTGAACTGAGGATGTTTTACTTGCTTACCTTTGTGAATAAACAACCAATGTTTTGATTTCTAGCTAATATATGTCCCACTAAATTTGTGGCTTGGATAATGTACTTTTAGGCATGGGTTCGTCTAAAATGGCGAGTCGAGACGAGGCGGATTTAAGTAACTTGAGCCTCAAGACATCCTCCGTGCCTCCGACTCCCAGAACAGAAGATGACATTTTGCAGTCTCCCAACCTTAAAAGCTTCACCTTGAGCGATCTTAAATTAGCCACCAAAAATTTCCGCTCGGACAGCGTCTTAGGAGAGGGAGGTTTCGGCTCGGTTTACAAAGGGTGGTTGGACGAAAATACCCTTGCGGCTTCGCGGCCCGGTTTGAGTATGGTTGTGGCCGTTAAAAAGCTGAACCAGGACGGGTGGCAAGGGCACAAAGAATGGCTGGTACGGAAAAAAAGTTTCGAATTTTATTTTAAGTCAAATATAACTTTCTTGGTGTGTCATTTTCATTTAGTGATGATTTAATGTATAAGTTGTACTTTTTCTGTTTACTCTTTGATAGGCTGAGATCAACTATCTTGGGCAAATTCGTCACCCGAATCTTGTGAAGTTAATCGGCTACTGTTTGGAGGATGAACACAGGCTTTTGGTGTACGAGTTCATGTCAAAGGGTAGCTTGGATAATCATCTATTCAGGAGTGAGTTCTTATTTGTCCTTCTAGAAAAAAGTCTCTTAAGGTTATGCTTGGTAAATCTAGCTGATAAGCTAGCTTATAGATTTTAAGTGAATTTCGAGCTTATAGCTGTGAATTTTGAGGTTATAGCTGATAGTTTATGATTTATGACTGAAAAACTAGCTTATATGAGAAAAATGTCTCGTGAAATTAGCTGAAATAAGTATATTTCAATGGGCTTATTTGAAAAGCTACCTAAGGAAAAAAGTTCGCCCTACCAAACCAAGATTATTTAAATATGCGAAGCTTTATAAGCTAATCAAGTAAGCTATAAACAAGCTTATATGCTTACCAAACACAACCTTAAATGAAGTGTGTTAGCAGACACTAGAAAAAAAAAAAAAGTGATATTCTTCTTCTTGTGCTGTCATTGGATTTTGTATGTAGATAAGAATTTTTCGACCAACTTGAAAATGTAACGATGAATGTTGATGTTAATATTAGGAGGATCGTACTTTCAGCCACTCCCATGGAGCTTGAGAATGAAGATTGCTCTTGATGCTGCAAGAGGGCTCGCTTTTCTCCACAGTGATGAAATAAAAGTGATATACAGAGACTTCAAGACTGCTAATATCCTACTTGATTCGGTTCGTAATTTTCTCCGTTTGGTTACTAGAATTTGCCGTTGTGTATGAAATTTTTGTGTCGAACTTTGTTTTTTCGGAGACTTTAGGTTGGGTTTTGGGTTAGTTATTATGCTGACTGCTTTTTAATGCTTGATTAACACTCACAGCACTACAGTGCGAAACTTTCTGATTTCGGGCTCGCCAGGGATGGGCCCGCTGATGATAAAAGTCATGTCTCGACTCGGGTTATGGGAACTTACGGTTATGCGGCTCCTGAATACTTATCCACAGGTATGAATATGACATGTTGGTTTAAACATTTTCTTGATTTATATATGTGTAGTCTACTCGTGATACAAATCGCTCCGTGTTTATTATGAAGAGAGTTCAAATGAGG